ACACTTACAATATATAAACAAACATTGTCATTATTAACTCATTATTAACTATGACTGATACATACGTCATTAAAATTTCGGTAATTAATTCCAACTCCATACGTAACTGAATGCTAGGTTCGTGGTTTAACTCTAATCTCGCGCTTTATTTTTTATAATAACGATTGATAATCCAATGATTGACTGAAATGAGAGTGCGCCAAATGAATTTATTCTTTATTAAATATTATATAAATAGTATAAGAATTGCTAAACTATATTGTTAAAAAAGGTCATTAAAATATATTTTTAGAAAAGTATTAAATATAAAAAGAAAATCGACTTTTTTTTTAAAAAAGTTTTTTTTTTATTTATTTATTGATATTTTTTGATTTTTATATTGAATAAACTTTTTAATAAATCTAATTTTATTCATTTTTTTACTTTTGTATTTTTATTACATATCAGATATACAGTAAAATATATATTGTATAAAGTATTTGAAATAAAAAAAGTTATTTACGGGATGACACACTAAGCTTATTTATCTAATATTATAAAAATAATTTTAAGTAATTAAAAAAAAACCAACAAAATATATATAAATTTAGTGAATAGAATACATGAATGACATACATGCAGTTCGTTACAAAATTTTTATTAATGAACTTTGTTGAATAAGAATTTGTAAGATCTATCTAATACTTTAATACTCTGAAATATATATATATATATATATATAAACCAATCCTTGTTTTTATTTTATTAACCAATCGATAAAAAAAAGCTTAAACATTTTAGTTTATATTAATATTTTTTAATAATTAATTGTTAAATTATGGATTTACTACAGCGAATATCATATAAGATTTATTACCTTCTTTGTATTCATTTTTTTTTAAGCAAAATTTTGTAATATTGATAATTTTTACGCGCAATTTAATCACACATTTGACTTTGCATATTATTAAGTCGCGAAACTTTTTCAATTATGGTAAGGTGAATTTTAAAATCTAATTTAAGAAACACATATAATTCTGGAAATATTTTTATCCAATTTAATAAAATAGTAAAATAGTACCTCAACGCTAACTTTTTAGACATAAGATGCATATTATAAAGAAAATAGTATTATCGAGAAGCCTATAAAATAATAGAAGAGAAATATCATGATTATGAAATCAATAGTTGTATTCCTAATATCGTTGTTTATGCAAAAGTGAACCATTTATTACTATAAATTTTTATTATGAATTCGAGGGTAATGTTTATTATAACGCGCAGAAACATGCATACTTTAAAAAACTGGAATTTTGGAATTTATCCAATTTATCCAAATGAAAATTAATTTAAACCTCTACGAGTTAGGTTTCTATAAATCATCGGTTTAATGAATACTTAGGTTCTGTATTTAACTGTTAATGGGTTCAATTAATACCGTACGTGTAATGTGCATAGCTATTGCCGATTAAGGTTGGCACGTGAACATTCGAGCTAAAGGAGATTATGAAATATTGAATATCCAATATTAATATTGTTTAAAAAAAGGTTAAAAAGAGGTTTAAAATGGTATATACCGTACGTATTGGGAATTAAAGCAGATCGTGAGACTATAACTGTATAATGATAAGCTATCATTTATTATTAACATTAACGCTAATAAAAGATTTATCATCCTGATTTCGTGTATATATAACAATTTAATTATTTATTTTAACTTGGTTAGATTACGTACGTGCGTGCGTACGTACGAACGTAGATATATTATTACGTACACCTTGATATATTTGTGTTAAGATTCAAATTTTTAGTTAGGATTGCATTAAAATTAATACTTTTAGAACGAAAATATATGCATGCAATGATCAGATCACCAAAATGAATAAAAACTGCGTTATAAAAAAAAATTATCGAATAGGATATGTGTCCGAAAAGAAGTTTTTTCGTCATGCAAATCAAAAAAAAATTGGACAACATTTTTCAACTTTAAGAAAAATTAAATTAAGAAAAATTAAGAAAAAATAACGAACGATCATTTTAAGTATTGTTTTTTTAAAATTTTTTATTTATTTATGTATATAGCAAAGAAAACCCTCTTTTTTTTTTCTTTTTTTTTTGTCAAACGCGTGTTACGACCGCATCCAGCAAAAAAAAAAAAAAAAAGAATAAAGATGGATTTTTTTTTCTAAGCTAATTTTAATTTTTTTGATTTTAATGAAAAATTTGTGAAGAAATTATATGTATAAAAAAAAAAGCTTATAATAGAAAAAATTGTACTATAGTCATTTTGTTTACAAAAATGAGGAAAAGAAAAAAGTATAGCATATAAGAAAAAAAATTAGTTTTTTTTTTTTTTTTTTTTTTTTTTTTTGATTATTAAAAAAAATGATGTAAGTAAAAAATAAAAGGGAAGCGAAAAAAAAAGAATAATAAAATTCGAAAAAAAAAAAATATTAACACTACTAAAAAATTTGTATTTTAATATGAATAATTACGTCGAATTAAAAGTTTGTGTTTGTGTGACCTACATATAGTAGGTTTGCTTGAGATTAATTTTTTGAAATGAAAAAAAATATACAAGAAAAAAAAGAAATAATCCCATTTCATTCGAAACCGGTCGAAAAAAATGAAGGTTGTTGGTCATTACAGCATTAACGAATGATTTTGAACACGTAAGACCGTTAGAACACTCGCGTTACTAAAGATAAACAAAAAAAAAAATACACACCACCACCACCACCACACCACACCCAGCCTAAACACGAAAGATACCAAAAAAAAAAAAAAACCACATGAAAAGAAAAAAAAAAGAAAAAAAAAAGACATCCAGAAATTTGTATTTCTATTTACAAATATTACAGAAAAAAAAAAAAAAAAATTATTGATCAAAAATGTAATCATATATGAAAGTTATAATTTTTTTCTTTTTTTGCCCTTAAAAAATTCACCATCAATTAAGACCATGGATCATAAAATGAACTTTTTTTCAATCTTAACACAAACACATTCATCGATAAAAAAAAATTCAGATACCACTGCTAACAGTTGGTTGATATTCAAAAGCTGATGACAGTGGCTGCGCATGATGACGAGGAGTAGTTAATAAAGGAGCAGGTAGTCTATTACTACTCGTGAATTCATAATTGTTTGTAGAATGATATGGGTGCGCGAATGATTGCGCAAATGTTGGAAGTCTCTCACTACCACCAGCTGAAGATTGTTGAGAATAGACCGGTGAAGAATTATTTATTTGCGATTGACCAATCGGTGGCAACGATGGAGCCATCGACGAAGGTGGTGGTAATGGAGGTGAAGGGGATTGAATATTCGCGGCACCGGAATTTGAAGATCCCGTCATATGACCATTGGAACGATAATAATCACCAGTTTGTGGAGATGGAAGTGATGAATTATTATAGTTATTCGCGTTTTCATTATTATTATTATTATTATTGTTATTGTTGCTGTTGTTATTACTAATCTGAGATTTTGTTGAAAAATAATCATAAGGGCTTTCCATTAGAGGTGAATCTGGTATTGACCGTCGTTCTTGTTCTTCTTCAAGGTCTGAAGAAGATCCTGAATTACTTGATCTTCTAGAATTTGATGATTTTTTTGCCATATCACTTTCAACTCTGTCATCTTCATCTTTAATTGAAGAATTTGAAGTTCCTCGTGTTTTACTACGCCAGCTCTGTCTTTTATTTTGAAACCAAATTTGGACAGTACGTGGTGCCATCCCTAACTCTTTTCCTAATTGAATACGTAACTCAGTGGAGGGAAAAAATGTCCTAGCAAATACATCATTAAGAACTTTTAATTGATTTGCATTGGCTCTCTTACGTTTAGCTTTTACCATGGTACCAGAATTAGGATTTGAATGATCAATATAAGGAGAACCAAGATGGTGATGGTGATGATGATGAATTTGCTGATAATGTGAATGTGGAATCATACTATTATGATGTGAATGAGCACCGAAAGACGGTGAACCATGAATAGAATAATTTGAAGTACTTGAAGCTCTATCAGCATAATGTGAATAGTGAGTATTATGAGATTGATTAAAATAGGAATGATCATGAACTTGTCCTGAAGCACGTGAGGAAGTAAATCCAGATAAATCTGAATGACGTCTTTGATCAACAGACGGTAATAAACGTTGATTAGCATAAACATGAGAAGTTGAAGAAGGATATGGTGTATATCGATTTTGAACAACATCAAATGATGATCGTCTCATTATATGATGTGGAAGATGAGATGACATATTATGAGAATTATGAGAACTATGAGAACTGTGAGAACTTTGAGAACTGTGAGAACTTTGAGAACTGTGAGAACTTTGAGGAATATTATTAATAGATTCAGATTGATGATGATGATGTTGTTGTTGTCGATGATGAAAATGAGACTTTATCGGAGAATCTGAACGATAAGTATCCGTTGTAAAAGTAGCAAATTGTTCTAACGGTTGATTATGATTCCAAGATTTACGGGAATCCAGATTCCCATTTTCGCAATTTGTAATATGAGGTAAGTCGGAGTTAACATCCGATCTCAGATTAGGTGAAGAAGCAAAAGTTCTGATTGAAGGTAGTACAGGCCTAACTACCGAAGAATCCTGATTAAGGTGAGAACGTTTGGTCCAAACCTGATCCAAAAATCTCTCAGTGGTAGAGAAACCAACATCATTATTATTATTATGATATTTAAGGTCATTTCTTCTATTATTATCTTGAACAAGAGAAAGTTTTTCATCTTTTTCAATAGGAGAAGGAGAAAGTGGAGGTGAAGTATCAGGAGTAGAAGTCGCAACGCGAACGTTATGACAAGAACGTGGAGAATCCAATGATTCATTATCACCAAGTTGACTAGTTGTTGATATGTCATCCATGCTACTATCTCCATCGATAGAAGAGTCGTAAGCAGGAGAAGAAGTGGATGGTAAGTCGCATAACAGGCTTGAAATATCTAATACAGAAGATTTTCTTCGTGGTAACGAGGATAATGAAGAATTAAGAGAAGGCCGTTTGGTGTTACTGCTATAGTTGATTCCGTCGATCACCTCATTAGACTCATCTTCTTTATTCATTAACATTATCTTGTTACCATTACATTCCGATTTGGCATTGTGCCGCCGCGAAGGATCATGAGTCATGATATAAGGGCGCATCGATACAGATACATTCTTGGAGTTAATCATATCTTCCATGGCAATAGAAGGATTAATGTCATCTATGATGCTACTTTCACTATGTAGGTGGACAGGCATCTTCGTCGACTTATTCGATGCTAATACCATGGAACGATTTATTTTTTAAAAAAAGGGTGATGATGTATTTCTTTATAAAAAAAAAAAAAAAAAAAAAAAAAAAAAAAAATCGGAGTCAAAATAAGAAATATCCAACAGTTTGGGAGAAGTTGGCGATTTGACGAGAATGAAAGAACCGAAGAATGAAGAAAAAAATTTTATGATTCTTTTTTAAAAAAAAAGATAAATCTTCCTTTTTTTTTTTGTATTTTTTCTTTTTTTTTTTTTTTTTTTTTTTCCGGCGAAAACGTAAAAAAAAAAGAATGGACGGTGTTTCGCGATAGTATTTTTTTTTTTTTTTTTTTTTTTTGTAATTAAAAAAAAAAAAATGAAATGAAGTAACCCAAGAGTTGGACGTTTTGGACCAAAAATATTTTTTTGGAGGTGTGAGATGGATGGAGAGATTTGAAAAGGAGCACTAAGCGTATTTATATAGAAGCGTGAACGGGAGAGATCCAATCTACAGCACACTATCAATCGCAATAACAAATGATAATAGTTATAATTTTATAATTTAATTGACAATCTAATAAAATTATGTGTAACAAGTAAGTACTGTACCTTAAGTGTGAGTAATTATAATAATATATAAATAAAATAAAGAAAAATACAGTATAAAAAAAAAATGTAGTGTGTGATAATAAGAAAATCATACATTAGTTAATTTATATTGTAACACGTGCTTCATATAAAAGATATAAAAGTATACACATGCATCGACATTAATTTTTTTTTTAGGGGACGAGAAAAGTGACATTAAAAAAAGGGGTGCTTGATAATTGCAGGGGTGCATTTATCATCACCATAGGGATCAGGGTAAACAGGGAATATAATAGGATCATACCGAATATTCAACGGAAATATATTTTGCAGGAAAAAAAAAAAAATATGAACAAGTGTGAACAAATGTAAACGGTTGAAAAGACGAACGAATTATAAGAGAGAGATTATCGGAATATGCGGAAAATAAAGCGGAAAGAGAAAAGGAACAAATAGGAGAAAAGATGAAGAAAAGGTTGAAAAAACCGAGATCAAAAAAAAAACATACCTCAGACCGATTATCAACTTAGAAAAAAGGAGGTGAGACTTTTTTGGATTTAAATGATTAAAAAAATTAATATTATGAATTAAATACCATGAATTAAATACAGTGAATTAAATACAATGAATTAATACGATGCGAAACGTATCAATTGTACAGAAAAAATAACAATTTTAGAAAAATAACCAAAGTAATAAACAGGAGGTATTAATAGGGAGCAAACAAGTAATGCGATAAATCAAGTAGTAAATCAGAACATATAAAGTACGAATGATGTAGAAGTGATGCATAAAGACTAAAAGAAATAACAGATACGTAATTAAAAACAATTTAAATGAGAATTATTAGAAAACGAGAAATAAACATTGATGAAATTAAATCTAACACACCGCATAATATTACAATGAATGAATGATGGTGATGAATGATGATTAAAATGATGCATTGAAATAAAACCAAACTAAATCGCGTGAAATTATTGTGCGAAATCGAAAGTTGCATTACGTGATCATTAAAGACGATAATAAAGACGATAATAACATATGAACAAGGGACGTGATATTGTTAAAAAAAATTAATTCGCAATGATGTGAATATTTAATTGCCACAAAAGTTAATTCTTTTGTGTGAGATTTTTTTCATGACTTTTCAAAAGAAGAGACTTTATCAATTTGATCAAAAAAAAAAAGAGAATGAAAAGATCGGAAAAATTCAATTAATTTGTTAAATTATTAAAATTAACGCCATCATAAGATTACTTATGTAAGACATTATTTCAATATTTCACATATTTCATTCAAATCTTTCAAATATTATAAAATAAAATATTTTAAATATATACAGTATTTTAATACAGTATTTTAATACAGTATTTTAATACAATATTTTAATACAGTATTTTAATACACTATTTTAATACAGTATTTTAATACAGTATTTTAATACAGTATTTTAAATAATATATTCAAATACTTTAAATAAATAATATTTTAATATTTTAGATATTCAAATACTTGAAAAAAAAAACACTTCAAATACAAAGTAACTCCAATAAATAAATTGATACAATCAATTAATTCATCAGAATAGACATAACAGATATACAGTATAATATAGTACTCTTAATATTGCTATATATAATATCAGATAGCATATTTTTTTGATAATTGCATAAAATTAAAATGATTATAAAATGATCTTACACCTGTTGCAGGGAGGAATTAAATGGTTAATACCGGATTTTAAACTCTTAAGCCGAATATAACGATAAATAAAATTAATCAACATATAAAAAAGTGGTGAAACACCAACGTCCGATTATATCTTTTTTGACATGTAAATAAAAAACCGGATACCATATAATTTAAGTTATTTAACGATGATAACATTAGTTTAACGCTGTGTCACCCTGTTTCATTAATCCTCTCACGAATTCCGATTACTCAGAGGGTATTAAATATTTGCCCGCCCATATAAAGTTTTACCAAAACAGCAAAAAAAGATTTACGTTTTGTTGTTTATATTCAGAAACGTGTTCCTTTTGGTTAACAAACTTTGTCAGAGAGTAATATTTATTATTATTAAGTAAAATAGTTTTGTTTGTTTGTATATATCAAAATAAAAAAAAAAAAATAAAAATAAAAAAATATGAATGAATCATGTTGTTCTTAACTTTTTTATTATAACCTATGAAACTGTTTCTCACTTTCATCTATCAATACTATTGATTAAAGGATTTTTAACATCTCTTCGTTAATATTGATAAAGTCTCGTCTAAATAGCATCTCATTAATTAATAATTGATACATTATATATTATATAGATATATTATATATATTATATATATTATATATATTATATATATTATATATATATATATATTTATTTATTTATTATATATATTTTCTAATCAATCGTAATGATCATACTAATCGATCGGAGTTGATAAAAAACAACTGAAACATACATCATAAATATTAATCAAAAGGTAGGTTTAAAATGAGAGTTAAAGATGTTTAATAATGTTTAAAAATTTTTTAAAAATTTTAAATTGCTTAAAATAGTTATTAATAGTTATTAGATGTTAATTAATCCTCCTCTTTCTCCTTTCATCAGAGATCCCTTTAATTATTAACGATTAACGGTCGGATGATTACTCGTGACATGAATGTTTTCGAATGAATACTATCATTTACGTTAGTTTCAAAAAAATCGGTTGTTGAATATTAGTTTAAATTAGTTTAATATTTGATCAATTGATTATCATCCTTTCGCTATCTACTACTGTATTCACCGTTCTATTGATTTTTTTTTTTTTTTTTTTTTTCAGTTCTTAAAAAACCAGTTTGGCTATGCTATGAAAAAAAATTCTTTAATTATATAATGTGAGTATATAATGTGAGTATATGTGAGTATATAATGTGAGTATATGTGAGTATATAATGTGAGTATATAATGTAAGTATCTTTCAATCAATTATGTTTCCCATGTATTTTTAATGTATTTTAATGCTTTTTGGTAACTGATTTTGCGTCAGACTAATCTTTTTCGTGATGAAATTGATGAAATTTGATGAAATTTTTAAACTTGATAATAATCATCTTTGATATGGCGATGGGAAAGTCTTTCGCGAACGTATACATACAGTACATATTGTACGTACTGTAATACGTATGAGTGCATATAGTAAGTACTATGATACTATAGTACTATAGTACTTATAGTGCATATAATACTATAGTAAGTATAATGCATATAGTTGATAGTACGTACTATCATACATATAGTACCATAGTACGTATAGAAGACCATAAGGGTATAAACTATAGTACGCACGTATAATACGTATAAGATGATCACCACATTATTCACATAACTTTTCCTTATATCACATAACTCTTTCCCTTGGAATTCCCAAGAGCTTTCCTGAGTTAGGCTCAAACATAAAGGCGATTACTAATATTACTTAATGCGTGTGATAATATTTTCTTAATTAATGGTAATCTTTAAATGATTCATCCTTTTTATCACTCCCTTTCTCTTCACGTTACACTCATATTACATTCACTCACTCATTTTCTTTCCACGTTACACTAGGTCTGAAATGTATTTCTGGAAGATGGCTTAGCATATTCCTAGAAAATTGCTCAAGAAAAATCCTGTTCTTCAAAATTTCCTGGTAAAAAAAAATAAACACTTTTTACTGTCAATGTCAAATAATGAGAATAATTGCATATTATGCAATTCCTGTTTTTTCCGTAATTATTGGTTCATTGTTGCCAATTTATCCAATTTATGGGTTGTTTGTCACATTCGATCCCGGTAATGGTTATTTTTCATTTATGTTTACATATAGTACAGTAGTATACGTGGTTTTTTTTTTTTCCTGCTGATGATGATGATGATGATGATGAAATCTGACTACGTAAAATATCATATAATATTCTATATTACAGTATTATATAATATTGTATGTTGATCCATGGTGATACGAATAAGCCGCGTGTCACTCGCATAGTATAAATTTAGGGTGAATATCAAACGGTACCTCATTTTATTTTAGTATATTCGTTTAATATACTGGTATATATATATATATTACATTAATAATACTAAAAGAATTTATTTCTTTAAAGATCTTCAGTAAAACATAGATCTAGTATACAGAATATCCTGAATGTAGTAAAAATTAAGTCAATTGAAATCCCGATTGTTTGTAACATTCCTGATACGGACTGAATGCGATTTTCTATTGATACACTAAAAAGTTAGTCTCGAATTTCTCGAATTTTTCGAATTAAGAGATTTCTTGCCTTCTATCGATTCGCAATGCTTGTTCAATGTCCGTTCATTCAAATGTCCGCTCAAATGCCCGGTCAAATGCCCGTTCAAATGTCCGGTCAAATAGTTGAAAAATTAGCATGCATCAATTCCTATGCAGACTATTTAACAAATAACAAATCATGATAAAGACTAAGATATCACATTAACATTCAAAAAATTTTCTATTATCTCGTCTTTTTGGGTATCTTAAAGGAAGAATCAAATGTTATTCGTTGTTAATAGTACAGTAGTATGAAATGAAATAGATGAAATAATGCATTAATTAGATTATGTTAGATTATTATGTAACTTATTCCGACTTTCGAATTAAAAAAAAAGAAAATTCTTTTTTTTTTTTTTTCTTATTTCTTTCATTTGGTAAAGTCCAAAAAAATTTACCAGCTACATTAACAATTTAATAACTTAAAATCGTATATTACTTTTTAGTGAAGTACAGATCGGTTTTTATTTAATGTTGTGATTTCTTTTATGATCATCTTTGTAATCCTAATACGTAATGATGGATTATGTCAGTAGAAATTATGCATTATCAGTTATAAGCATATTCCGAAAAAGATGTCCAGACTTTCCGTCAATCTGAGTAATCTAAATAAATATATATCGATATATATAAGAGTGTAATTTATTTAGCATATATCGTAATGATGATCATGATTATTAGAATGCATTTGTTATTATTTGTATCCATCATCAAATATCCGTATGGTTTTGACATATGCGCTTATTCACTCATATTTCTTTTTTCTTTCATGATTTTTCATCTTGTCATTCCATTCATTAAAATTCATTAAAATTCATAAAAATTCATAAAATACATAAAGTATATAAAGTATACAACGTTTATAAAGAAGAACCTAACAACGTTCATAAATTACATAACATTCAATAAAATTTCAACTTCAATATTTATAATAGAGACTTAAAATTCCTATAATCGATTCGTGAATCCTTTTGTTTCATATCTTGTCTCTATTCAATATATTCATTCATGTCATGAATATCTTGAATTTTAAAAAGTCAATAAAAATTTTCATGTTTCAAAGATCTCCGTAACTGATGACCTTACATCATCATGCTCCTAATAACGTTGAGTAATATAAATAATTAATTTGAAACAGACTATGATTAATTTGTTTAAAAAAAAAAATTTTTTTTTTTCTTAAAAATTTTTCTTTTAAAAAAAACGCCTCTACTTGCACATAAGTTTGGTTCATTCAAATATCCTAATTTTGTTTCCTTATCACTTCCAATATAGGATATACGTAACATATCAAATACCTAATTGCACGAAAAACTAGTTAAAATACAAGTATTACCTAATTCACTATATGTAATGTAATGAATTCGAAGATTCGTTATCATTATTCTACCGGAAAAATTATTGTTAAAGTCGTTGATAGAATTATTTGATAAAAGTCGTTGATAAAAGTCATTCTAGGTCTTTTCGGTTATATCATATGAAATATGAATATATGTAGCGAAGACAATTTTTAATCTATTAATCGATTATTTATCGAACGATTATTTATCGAACGATCCATGTATTTCCCAGTAAGTGAAAGACATTTAAATGTTAAATTGTTAACGTTATCGTTAAATGTGTTTTTTAAATTTGTATATCATATATATCATATATATATATTATATATTTCATTAGTTATTAATATACATCGATCTTTTTTATGAATTTAGATTTTTTATACAATATTTAATAATGTTCAATGTTCACTTCCCTGATCATCATTTACTGTATTAAAAGTTTGAAGTACATCAAAAGATATACTATTTTTTGACATCTAACTCGTTCACGTGCATTCACTCGCGTTTTTTTTCGTTAGTAACAACATCCCTATTTAAAAAAAAAAACCTCGTTTTTTTCTTGGACTATGATCTGTTTAAAACTTCTTACGTGAATCAAAATCCTTGCTTATGTCAGGTTCTTCTTCGGTACGTACATCTTAATTAGTTATTAATCTAACCATTTTATAATTATTTATTAATTGTTATCTTTTTTTGAGCAACTAAGCATTAACGTTAAATGCCTAGTGTATTTTGATTCCTTATAAGTGTAAATTACTGTATATTTGATATAGTGAGTTTGCTACTTTTGATATCAAATGCAGTTCATTCCCTTAATCTTATTATATCGTACTTATTTGATTCTTTAATTTTTGATCAACTTTTGAACAATAATATGTATAAATCTATATTGTGTGTGTATGCTATATGCTATGTAGAATTTACATGTGATAACTAAAAAAAAACAAAAGAAAAATTTTTCTTGTTACACCACTAATATCGTTATGAACTTTAATTTTACTTTAGAACGCCGAAAAAAACTTTGTTGAATATATATGATATGTTTCTGATCTTTTTGAACTTTTTGAACTTGAACGAAATGTTCTTCTATTGGATTTATGCAATTTTATGTACGTTATTCCTGAAGGCTTACGAGTGAAAAAAAATTTTTTTTTAGAGTTCTTATTTACAACAATATACGTAGCAATATTAAGATGTACATTAACTGAGTAACATCGTACAGAACATCGTACAGAGCATCGTACAGATGAATGTTTCACATACTGACAAAGTAAAATTCGTGGCGCGAAAAAAAAAAGTAACTATTAATAATTAGTCCATTGTATATTATTATATATTGAATAGTATAATTTTTAGTTAATTCGGTCATTAATTATTATTATTATTATAACCATTTTCACGTTAGCGTTAGCGTTAGACGTTTTTTTTTCTTTTATTGAATCTTATTAAATCTGTTATATAAAATCACGCCATATCGTATTAAATTTCTTATACTTGTTGGGTTAGCACTAAGTAGATAGTCCTGCACGGACCTAAACTTTTCATCGGTTCGCTACTGTTATATACTATGTTGATATTTTGACCAATTAAATCATTGGATCTAAATCCTATCGTTATATTCTATGATGCATTATTAGAAGTGCATTCTTTTACCGTTATAAAAATGGTTTTTAATAATATGCGTTAGATCACTTAAAGCTATAATAAAATATAGTAATTTTATTTGATTCTAATACTTACTAGTACTTACTAGTACTTACTAGTACTTACTAGTACTTACTAGTACTTACTAGTACTTACTAGGTTGATTAAACCCCGTTGGTTTGAACACAATGAAAAATAAAAAGATAGTCCCTGGAAAATCCTAATTCTCTCATTTCTTTATTTATCAACAAAAGCAATTCATTTCAAAAAAAAAAATAAAAATAAACGAAGACGTTATAAGACGTTATGATGGTATTAAGCATCAATAATAAAAAACATTATTGGATAACTTGTCTTCCATTTTTGGATTTACAGAAACTCATATTTTTTTTAAAGCGCTAAACCATGAATTTAATTAACTAAAATTAAAATTATATATATTCGGACGCAATCATTACTTGTTTGCGTGTCCACGTGTGATAACAAATAAATGAAGTCGGTAGTGAATATCAATACATGTGTTCTTTTATTCTTAATCTGAGTTTCTAATTTCAAATTCTTTCCATATGAATTTCTTTTTTTTTTAAAAAAATAAATCTATATATATTCATTATATGATTGTATAATAATGGTAATTACTGTAAACTATTAATTAATATGAGAATATGATATATCGCATAATTGTTCGTACAGTACATTATCAATTACTGAATTATCAGTTACTGTATCAACGAAATACGTAGAAATACGTAGAATATTCTAATTCACTCTAATTAAAATCATGTTTTTATATAATTTACGCCTTACTTACCTGTTACTGTAAAGATACCTACCATAAATGTTTATTTGTAATGCTGTAATGTTAGGCTTAAAACTACTTTTTCGATTATAAATAATTATGTATTATACAAATAATAATTTTATATGTAATAATTTTTTATAAAAAAAAAAGTTTCGTTATTAAATTTATTATTACAGTATTTATTTCAGTATTTATTACAATATTTATAATATTTATTACAATATTTATTACAATATTTATTAAGTATTTATTGCAGTATTACATTGTCATATATACCTTTCTAATAATCACTTCTAATATCTGACACTGCACTGTAATACTGTAATAAAAAATATATATTTATTACCACATTCTAATTAATGTTGACACAATGACGATAAATTTATGGATCTACGCGTGTTGTGTTGTGTACATGTGAATGACGTGATACATAACAATGATCGTACAAAGGAGATTGATACTATTTCTGATTATTAATCGTTATTTGTTTTTTATATCTATACCAGGCATTCACTCTCAATTCGTCATTGTGTATCCACTAACAAGATTGTTATTTGTGGTACAAACTTAATATTTTTGGTTATTGACTATGAAAAATCTTAACGTTTATCAAGTATTCATTAAGAAATAAATCATTAAAAATATTTTTGCCAATTATCGAAATGATCTCTCATCATCCTTCAGGGTTCGAAAATCAGAGTTTTCAGTTTATGCATATTAATATCAATATGCACCAATCATATTATGATTTTAAAAGAAATCTTTTCATCACAAAGTTACGGAATATGTAATATGTACACTTGTATGTTGACTTTTCGGATACCACCCAAATAAATCAATTCCATCTTTTAATCATTAATTGTAAAAATTGTTTCTAATACTCGGTAATTTTTATATAATATGTTTAATATGTTGAATTTTGGGGATGGAATTCTAGGACCTAAAGAAAATAAAGAATTTAAAGGTCAAAAAAACATAAATCTGGGTCCAATTTATAATTACCGTATTTCACGGACTAAAGAACAAAATCACCATACGCCTTCCTCGCCTTCCTTCCTTGTCTTTTTCATCTTGTAGAAGGCTTATACTTGATATCTTAAGATTAGACGTAGATTAGACGTAGATTAGACGTAGATTAAACGTATATTAGACATATATTGGTTTAAATATTATAATAATATAAAATATAAAATATAAATTTTGATCCATTATCCCCAGTATAGGATTATACAAAGGAGGGTGGTTTAACCCGTGAAAAATATGGGTTTTTTTTTTTATCGTTACAAAATCAACAATAATTATTCAAAAACAATAACAATTATTATTATTGTTATTATTATTATTATTATTGCACCGTGCATGTTCGAATGCTTCGATGAGAATTCTTAATGTTTTTTTTTTAATATATCATTGAGATATGAAATAAATCCAAGAAATAGATGTTATTTAATAAATAATAAATAAATAAATAATAAACAAATTTTTTTTAATTAATA